GAGTGTCTTCCGGATTAAGTCTTCCAGATTCTTCAGTTCTGCATTAAGTTGGTTTCCACTTGAAAGCAGAACTGGTCCAGTTAGTAGAGTGTTTGGTTATAATCCTTCTCTAGCTAGATTATTTTGCACCTCATTTCAGTTATTAATAACTTAAAAATGATTAAGACAAGCTGTTCAATACATTTATGTACCTAATATAAATATATTTAGTAATAATTCAGAACAGTGTTAGCTTTAAATTTATATTTTCCTCTGTTGTTTAAACGATTACTTTGATTATATTCCCATTAAATTGTAACTAAGAATTTTCCTTGCTTGAAACTTACGTGCTACAGTATGTAGATAATTTCCCAGCAGTTTGTTTTAATCGCCCGTAATGAATATACATATATACATTATTGCTGTATAACTAAAGGATAAATAAGGGCTCAGAGCTGAATATATACAGAAAACTGCATATTTTAACAACCGAACATTAATCTAGATCTCTATCTGAATTTCCATAGAATACAGAGATAAAATAATTTTGTGAATGGTAATACATAATACATCAACTTCAGAAAAATACCTAAGTAAACTTAGAAAAGTCCAATAAAGTATTTATAAGGTAAAACATTTTTTTTTTATATGTACTGGGTGTTCTGATAAGAAAAGTACTCGGTATTTGACGCAAAAACTTGAGGAAAATAATATATTATTAAAATGACTGCAGGAAAATGCTGGAAATTTCGAGTTCAAAAATTGGTCAATAGGGTTCATCACAAAATATCTCAATTTTCCCTTAAATTTTCCTGATTGAGTGTTATTATTTTTCAATCATTAATGTACTTTCAGATCATTTTTCACTATTGTTAAAAATTTAGTGGTGGGGGAAGGTTAAACATTTTTATATTCAATTGTTGATATCTCTGGTTCTGAATAAACAAATTTTAAAGAAAAGAAAGAATATGATAATATTACTATTACTATATAGATACTATTATCTTCGTCAACAACAATTCTTACTCTTATGATAACTTATTTCTCTTTATCTAAATATAGCGATAGCTCACAACACTGTCATTATTTACATGGCATTTTTAAGATTTATTTTTACATAATTAGATTGCTTTTGAGTCACAGCTTTTAATCAATTGAGTTAAGTAAAACAAAGGGAGGGTATATTACCTATATCGTCAGTGAAACGTGATAACCTGCTAACTCCATTTTTGATTTTAAGTAAATTAAAGTATTATTATACATCATTTTTACTTAAAATTTTTAACGAAATATTGAGTTTTATAGTTCCCCAACAAATAGTATTGTTATCTCTTTATCATATTAACGCTTGAATATATTTGCTAAATGTGTACATATTTTTTGTACTGTTTCTTTTTTCTCCTCGAAAATTAGGAAAAATTGAGTTAGCAATTTATCCCATTTTACCGACAATATACTTTGTTGCAGGAGGTTGTTTTTAAGGCAAAATTGTTTGAACACAAGTGAGTAAACAAAGTGCTCGTTACATAACCAAAAAATTAAATAGACATATACTATGAGAGAATAAAATATAATTTGGGGGCAATATTAATGGTATACTGTTTTTAATCAATTAGTGATTAAATGCTATGAACATCTTCTAAAATTACAATTATGTACCATTATTATATTATAATATAATTATTATATTATAATTTCGTTATAGCCGAAATAGCCCCAATTATGCCCCACTAGCAAAACCGGTGATAGCTCGCTACCGTAGTTGAACTCATCTAAAAAGTTTTTATAGCTAAAATAATAAATTATAATACAAGACCCCTGAAGGTATCAAAATATTTACTTTTTTATTTTTTCTTTAGAATTTTCACAAATTATATTTTCTAACACTTTTAGAATAATTATATAATACATTTTTCGTATACTCGCTATTTAAACCCATGTATCTGTATATATCAGCTGCTTACGATATTCTCCGCTGGTGGCAGCACCAGCGGAAAATGCACTAAGCCTATAAAATTTGATATCTCAAAACTATAAATCCAATCTTTTCATATTTTTAAGTAACTAACCTATTTTTAGTTAATAACTTCATGATATAAATAGTATCGAACAAAGTAAAAACATAAATATAACCTATATTAAAATATAGTCTATTAAACTGTGTAACAAGTAAAATATGGCACATGCCAGAGTATATTAAAAACTGGTGTAATGAGGAAATCCCTTTCGAAGAACAGAATTAAGAGTAATAAAATCTTTTTAATCGTTCACGGTATTAAAGCACACGCGACTCTATCGCAAATAATAAAAAACCTGTCCAGAAATGGAGACATTAAACCGATTTATGCCAACAGGGATTCGACTTTATAGGTTAGAATTCCGAATGTAAATAGACCGCCTCATATATGTAAATACGAGGCTTTTTTACTTGCATTCATGTGTTGGCTCAAATTCAAAAACGTAATAATTAATGTTTTCGAAAGACGTAACAGAAATATGAATCGATAAATTGCTAATTTTAGAAGCAGAAGGTTATTAGTTTTAATTAATAAATCATTAATTTTATGATAGGGTTGTTTTTTGGAGGTGTAGATTAAAAATAACCATCTCGTTAGTGTGTATTAATTTAAATGATAGGTGTAAATACCTGAGTTTAGAACAGCTGTTTGAATATAAGTAGTTAACACTATTATTTAAGAAACACGACAGATTTTTTGCATAATTCGTTATTCTATGATGCTCCGTTCTTAATGAATTGTTTAAGTAGCTATAAAAATGCAAAATTTTAAAATTAGCTCTGTAATTCGCGTACTGAGAAGGCTAGGGCATGTATCATTTTTAGTTTCATAAAAATGTAGCAAAGTAATGTGAAAACAGCATTTTTGTACCTCTGCTCATAAACGAGAAACTTTGTAAAACACTAAAATGGGACAATCTGTACATAATAAAATTTCTTCAATATATTATACAGGGCGGCACACCTCGTTCGCCTCGGAAAATCCTACGAAAACGGAAAGATCTTAGAAACAAAAACCACAACAAAGTTATATTTTTTCTTGTAGAACACCCCGTATTTTATTTCATATTGGGATCCTTGAACACAAAATAAGGCATTTATTATAAGGGTTAAATATGTTTACAAGCTTTGGTTTTTGAGATATTCAGAGATATTTAAATTTGCATGCTATAGCAATAAAAATTGTCAACACCCTATACATTGCTTTTCAGAGTTAATTCTTGTGCTGATTTGTAAGCTAGAGAAATAAACTTTGAAAAATTTGATTGCTTCATTTAATGTATACAGGAGTATCAAAAATAGCTGGTCTATTTTGAATATTTATATATAATAATAATAATAGCTCCCGTATACAGCGTTTAACGCCTTGGGAGTAGCAAGGTACAGCTTGTCATACTAGAGCCGTTGGGTATACAAGGAAGGTAATGTGGCTAGCATTACGCTTCAACCGCCTATTATTACCTCAGCATTGTGAATCCCAAGTACTCATTTAAGGCTGAGTCGACCTAGGTAACCAAACTATTTTTATTTTAATAAAAATAGTCGGCTGATGAAATGCCGGGTGTGGGATTCGAACCCACTACCTTGAGATTGGTAGACGAGAGCCTGTACCTCTACGCCACCGGGCACCTTTTGAATATTTATTTTATATAAAAACTTTGTTATTTTAAGTATAACACCCTGTATTTTTTAAAATAACCAAAACAGATTCAAATGTTATTTCAAACTATGTTAGGTTTCCTATACCTATCTAGCTCAGATTTTGAATAAAGATCAATTTTTTAATAAAATGACAACCAAGAGGGCTGATGTCGTCATGGCAAGTTTCTAGTGACAGTAGCTATTAATAATTAGTTTTTTTCATAATATACCGTTTTTAATAAATTGAGCTAAGTAAAATAAAGTAATGAATATTTTTAATTTTGTTGTTTTTATTTATTAATAAATGTAATATAATAAGGTAATAAAATTAAAAAAAGTATTAAAGCAAATTTTTCTATGTATAAAAAAATTACTACCTGTAAAGCCAAAAAGTCTCAAATTTTCTGTATACGATTATTTTTTGTTTATAATTTTTTCTTATGTTATATTATTAATCAAAAAAGATATTTATAATCGCGACACAGTCCCTTTTACCTATTTTTTTGCTTTGTTTAATTTTTTTATTAATATTTAAAAAAAGGTAAATAAACTATTTGAATTTGAATATATATCCTAAAATTTTGTATATATTTGTATTTAGTTTATTCTTTATTCCTACTTTATATCCTTAAATGTTAAGTGTTTTGATTGGTTAGACAAATTTGATATGCAAGTAAATAGTCAATGAAAAAATCCGTTTAGATTCACAATCCATTGGCATTTTACTATTCTGTTTATACTCAACTCGTAGATTTTATCAATAACGAAATACGCAGACGAGTGTTTTCCAGAAATAAACCCTCCAATAAGTTTATTTAAAATTTCCAGTATTTTGTAGAACATAGAAAAGGAAACTTATTTTACTTATTTTTTATGTATAATGCTGGTTGCTCTTTGGTTACTATATTATAATATGTATTTTCATGTTTAAAACTAAAATTTAATTTCTGTTAATATTTGCTTAATTCAAAATACGAAATTGGTAATATTAAATGCAAAAAAATTAAAGGTAAATAAATTTCTTAAAGTTATAAGCAAAAATACTTTTCAAACATGATTTAAAAACAGCACTGCTTGTATATATACTAAATAAAATTATTACCACATTAAATACAAAACAAAATATCCATTATTTCGAACAATAGAATAAAAAAGATTTGTGATTTATGAATTTTTCATAACTAATTGGCATATGATCATCATATTATAATATTTATTTTAATTTAAAATTTAATTTTTCTAAATTTATACTGTGTTTAAAATACAATACGATACACGTTTCTTAAACGTCGCATTCAAGTTGACACTGTATTTTCCATTAGAAATAAAAATTACCACCGCTATAAAAGCAAAACAAACTTACCATTATTTTAAACGTTCAACGACACTAGGTAAAACGGCGATACACCTTCACACCGACTGCATACCTTTCCATAAATAACCTCGATTTCTGCCGCCTATTACCATAAACTCGGGTCACTAACCGCTCATCGACTACAATCCAGCGAACAATACACTGTATCGCTGTTATTTTAAGACAGAAAAAAAATATTTGCTTTACAATTATCGAAATCTTGGTAGAAGGGCCGGATGGGTTCGCCTTGAGCTTGACCGCACCGCGAATCTTTAACGACTACTCGTTTTTCCGGAGTGTCGTCGCGTCGAGTGTGTGTGTCTCTATCGCATAAAAGCGCTCTAGCCAAATAAAACTTGTTGCTCGCTGCCGGCTAGAGCGGCTCAGAATATTGACTCTGGCCGGCGGGGTGGCGTTTTTGACGGGGACCGTCGCCGATTGGTCCTTGACGGCGAGGTTGCGGCCAATAGAGTTCGAGGATGATTGGCCTCTTTGCCAGCGTTCCAAGAGACAGTGGCGTAGAATTGAGGAATTGTAGGGAACATTTTGTGTATAATTTTGTTCTAAACAAACTTGAATATACTTTTATTGATATCTAGCGTATCTTATGGATCTTCATATTCATCATATAAAGCACAATTCTACCAATTAAATTACGGTGAAGCCTCTCTTTTGTAGAATGTAGAATGTTTTGAAGGGGGTTTAATCACCGCGACCTTACAGGTCTATTGTTTCCCCATTATTGTCCCCCTTTCTTGAGTTATCATCATACAGTCTCAGGGCTTTGATAAGAGCCAGTATCCGAAATAGTTTTACGCAGGTTAGTTCTCCATCTCCGATATCCAAGTAGCATTTTCACGACTTGCGACCACATGTTTACTAAACACAACGTTGGATTAGTTACAAAAAATAGTTAGCTCCCTACCTTGGGTATTAAAATAAATTTAAACGTTTTTATAACGTTGTGCCGACGTTGGACTAGTACTACAGCAAAGTAGAAGCTTCTGCGACGTCAAATAAACGTTGTCTTGTAACCTTTTTTGCTTAAGTGATCTTTAGGTGATTCGGACAACGTAGTTACAACGTTGGACAATATAGAGTTTTCCGACGTCAGTTTCAGGACCTATTCCAACGTTATGCAAACGTCGTCTGTTTTACTAATTCCAACGTTGTTTAGATTTCCTTATTCTTACGTTGGTAGGACGTCGAGTCACTACCTTTTTGCAACTGTATTGAACCATAACCTTAAATCTTAAATTTTCACTTCATTGTTCTGTTCAGTCAGACAGTTCAGTGCTGATTTTATTTTATAAAAAAAACTTAATTAAAATGGGACATAAGAAAGGTACATATAAAACTAAATTTAAATATACATCGACATATATTACCGATAGTTTATCCACTCCCTCGTTTATTTAGATTATAGAAGGCGGCACAAGCTAGATTCTAGGATGACTAAATTAGGCAATCTTGCGATTAGTATACTACCTGTTAAGGCCGAACTGCGACTTTATTAGTCCAGTATGCGACTACTCGAACTACTCCATCTTAATCTCCCAAAACAACAAAGTGAAAACCGCCATGTTGTTAAATAAGAAAATGTTTCGTTCCTAAAATAGCAATTCCTGCTTTTTGAATACATTAATTTGAAATATTTGACCCTAAATATTACGCGGAAACAATTTTTTCGACTGCGAATAAATTATTCTCATTTTACTAAAAAAAAATTCAAGAAAATGTTTAAAACTTCTTTAATTTTAAGGCCCATTAGTATTTTTCAAAGTAGAAACAATACATTTATCAATAAAGTTGTTTGCGTTTAACTTTTTTGCCTTGGGTAACGAGTTACAGAGTTGGTTAAAGTGTTTCAATAATTATGATCTTCAAACATCCTCCACACTTAAAAACTTTTGTTTTGTCTTCCTTCACTGCCATCTGACATATGTCTCTACCTAAATCATAAAAATAATATTTTTACTATAATTATCCCAATTTAGGATAAAACGCGACTTAGACGCCATATTAGTTTTGTATTTCTGCGAATTAGGATTTTAAACAACGTTGCAGTTTGTACTAAATTAGGCTTCTAGCCAACGTCGGTATCCAACGTCGTTTCGACCCAAAAATTATTCTCCAAACTAGTGCAGACTAGGGTTGGCACGAGGTTGTGCCGACGTTGCGCCCCGACGTTTGGTCGCGTGACACAACGTTGTCCCGACGTCCAAATGCTGCTTGGGTATAAGTAGTACCAAAGTTTATGGCACGAATGGTTGTCGTCTCGGGGCAATCAGTGATAAGGTATTTTGGGTGTTTCCCGATTTTCCCCACAGAAATTGCATTCGCTGTTGTTTCGATATATAATGTTGATACTTTTGATAATAATATAATGTTGATAGTTAAGCTTTGAAGAAATTCGGACACTTTAAAACCCTACTTGTTGACACATTTTGGTTGATAAGAAACAAATACTGCTCTAAGGCAGGTAGAATTTTTATCTGAGGTAGATGAGTTTTTGAAATCTACAAAAGCTAGTTCTACAAAAGTTTTCTTTCTTGATGATTTTGCTGATCGTAAATATGTAAACAGAGTTATTAGTAACATATTCTTAGGGTAATAAATAATAGCATACTATTTTATTAGAAGTAAAAATGATACTTTTTCTGGCAAGGCCGTACGTTTGACATTACAGGCAAGGTACAAAAGTCATTTTTACTCCGAATAGAACATGCTATTTTTTTTAACGTGACAAATAATTTTTAAACAATTTTAAACCGTTCGAAATACTATAAAAATATTTAAAAGAAATTACATATCGAGAAACTATGGTTACCCTCGTTGAATTTACACTTTTTTTCAGTTTAATAATATATTTTCGTACTTTTATGCCTAGGCGCTAAAATGACTTTTTATACTGTCAATCACGTCGCAAAAATTAATACTTTTGTGACGTTTGAAAAAATATATTCTCGGTAGTGAACGCATTTTTTATTTGAAGTTGTGTTATCTGTTAGCTTCTCTATATTATCTGCTGTTTTTTTATTGTTTTTTAGCGTTTAACGTTTTTTTTATAACTAAAGTATATTACAAAAGATTTTAATATTAAAAACAAAAAAATATTATTCAGCTATTTCAAAACAAATAAAAGTATTTGAGAGAACAAAAATAGTTTCTACACCAAATTTTACAGTTAAAAGGAATAAACTGATTCAATTTTGAATTTTCAAAATATTGATATAATGACTTTTAAAAAATAGAGGGATCAAGTCTTTAATGAATACAAAGAGATATACGAGTATATCATTCAAAATTTTATCATTTTTGGGTTAAATTATTTTTAAAACGTCAAAAATAAAATAATAATTATTTTAAAAATAATCTACATCTTAGTGTTGTCTTAACTAAAAGAAAATCTTATCTTATTTTACATTCCCCATATAATTTTACATTTATATGGGGAATGTCATATATCTTCATTTCCAAGCCAACTGGATATCATTTTTTCGATCATACGGTATTAATATTGTTCAATACTTATCGTCAAAAACTCTGTATAAGTATTTTTGATTTTTGCTATTTTTTGATTATTAAAACTTACATATTAAAATTTAAATCACTCAAAATGGAGTTTTTTAATTCAATTAAAATTTAATTTTCATTAACTTGCAACAGACTTGGTTATCAAGTAAAGTAATGATAAACAATAATTATTGTGCTGACCTTTTACAGAGAGTTATGTTTAATGACGTTTCCGTTGGAATAAAAGTCACATATTGTTACTAATGTTCCTATCAATATCACAGCTACAAGCTTATGCAAAAGGCAGGCAGTTTTTGAATTCTAGATCATTATCAGTCTATTTAAGTCGATATTGCTTTGATTGATTGTAAAATATAATAAGGCCCATTGGCGCGGATATTTTCATTTTTTCATAATTGTTTCATCATAAACTGGATGATATTTTAAGAACGTGCTACTTTAAGTAGAAGTTAATATTCATTATTATAGATATATTCGTATTAGATTATTATATTAATATAGAGAGAAAATATAATCCGAATTCTTTTAAAAATGTCAATAAATATAATTTATATATTATGCAAGGTGTGTCAATATTCCATGGACGTAGAACTACTATATTTGGATTAATTTAAATTTGTTTCCTAAAATATTTCGATTGAAAGAAAATATCGAAAGGTGGGCAACACTGTGCCGGTCAAGATTAATCACGTGACTAAAAGTTTATTTGATATGAACTATACGTATTTATGGTATCAAAATAAGTTTATTGGACATAACTTACCTCTATAAAAAAGTGCTGTATTTGTCCGTTGGAGTTAAGTCACTTTTGTATAGAAATAAATTGAAGGTATCTAATGAATTTATTTTTATTCCAAAAATACTTAGTAGTTCTATGTCCACGGTATATTGGGACACCCTGTATATATTTAATTCGTCTAGAAGAACGACGTTGTTGGATATCTAGGCTTCATTGTTTTGTATCCTCCCATTGGCTATTGTCTAAATTTCTCTCTCATGGCTTTTCAAACTTTCTCGTGCCAAGTTCTTTTTGGGCGATCTCTTTTCTTTCGGTGATGTGGTATCCAATTCTTTGTTTTGGCCGTACCAAATAAATTATTAAATGTAAAGAAGTCTCGTGCTCTTAGTGAAATCTAGTATAGTATTTACACGATCAAAGATATATTTGATGTAGGTACTAAAAATAGTAAAGCTAATAGATATTTCTTTATTTGGAGGTTATGCTCTCCCTCCTTCAGACCTAACGAGGTGTCACTGTACGTTTTAGAAACATTGGGGTTTTATAATCTATTAGGCCTTTGAATAACAGGATTAAGGAGCTCAAATATTGTATAATACTGGTCTATCAGTGCCGTTCAATATGGTTATTATGAGGATTTATGATCTACTGGCTATCGTTTTATTTGTCCCCGACACTGACCTCTGGTGACCCGTATTTTGTTTCCGCAACATATTTTAGATGGCTATCGCACATGCAACGATCTCAAATGATTATGATAAAGGTAACTTCAAAAAAAACACATTTCTTTTTGTTTCAGTCTCTTTAATTGCCAACAATTATTAAAATTACTTAAATAATAAAAAA